GTGTTTATTGAATTCTGTGTCTTAGTGATAATATTATGTTCTCAAATATTTTCATAAGGATTGGGATCCTCAAGGAATTCTATGTTTTTTTTTTCATTATAAATGTTGGTGTCCAATATTTGTCAGATGTTACAATAGGGATATTTTGTTTCTAGATAACTTCCTAAGTGCTTTTATATACCTCAGTTGTAGAGTGGCTTTGGGTCATACAGAAATTCAATGTCAGTCAAAATATTAGCTACTAATGAAGAGAAATGATGGACAAAATTGATAGAATACCATCCAACTATACCCAAGCATTACAACCTATACAAGATGTAATTTTATATACCAATACTTTGTAGAAATTAAGATCTGTAACATTATGTAGTGCTGAATTACTAATAAAAAAGGGAAGAGACCCAAAAGAAAGTTTTTATCCTCTGACAAAATTTCCCTCAGAGGCCCTGATCACACATGTTATAAAAGTCACACACACTCAAACTTCTGAATGGAATCTAATTTCAGTTAAAATTAAAAACATGTAACAGCCATAGTAATTTAACCAACGCTTCTTCTTCTGGAAGGTTGATAAGTCATAAAAAAATCAATCAATTAATCAATTATTCTTCTTCATATAAATCCAGGTTGATTTTATGATTTGCAGAAATGATCAATATCAACCACTTGTTAACCAAGTGGCTTTTAAACACAAGTTAAAAAAATTGGTTTTACTGTTTTGCGACAAAGATGTATTTTGACAATGAATTAAAAAATAACCCTTACAGAAACATTTTATTGTTTTCACTCCTTTTAATTTTACATTTTCTCTCCTCAAATTATTTCTTATTGTCTCACAATTTGCTTTTTCTTCGAAAGTATCTGAAAACTCTGACAATTCAATACCTGTAAGAAATTCCTTAATAATCTTGTCTGTATTCACAGTATTAAGAGAAAAAAATATAAAAATTTGCATTTGTATAAATCTGTCTCGATTAATATCTTTTTAAATATAAAATGATCAAACTAGGAATATCATTGATTGTAGTTTAGCTAAAGAACAGAGGATGATGACTTTACAAATGCTACATTTACCAAACAGAAATATAGGAGAGAGGAGGCATGGTGGAGTAATGGCTCAGATTGAGGAATCAGAGAGCCAAGTTCAAATTCAGTAGAATTCATTTGATTCACTTATGTGCTAATACCCTTGGGAAAGGTATGACTCCTTTTCTCCTCCCCACAACTATGGGTAAATAGCAGGACAGACCAAGTCCTTTAGCCTTGGATAGTAACTGGTCTACCACAGAAAGAAATGGCAACCTATTGCAGGGAAAAAATCTACCTTGTCAGTCATGTATTGATACATGATCACCTAAGCATGTATCAAGCATGGCACATAACTTTTTTTTTAATATAGGAGACCCTATTCAAATTTAAAATCAAATAATCTCTAATTTGTAGATCTATATATAAATGCTGCTAAAATAATATAGACTACATAGAACAAATTTATGTACTAAAATATTAGAAATCATTTGAGTATGAATTTAAACAGAGTCCTTTCTTTAGCAAATTTGGCAGCCTTAGTAGTCATCAATAATTTCCCTAAATATTTATTCTTGTCCTTTTGTTTCTTAACAGTTTCTATTTTTATTGGGGTGGAAATTACCCACATCAGCATGCAAAAACATGTATTTTACTAGAGGCAAGAGAAGATGTATGAAACCATGTTGCAGATGGTATATTGGCCAACAAACATGTGGTAACCACTGACATGCTAGACACAGCAACAAGTGATTATTTGGCATAAAAAACACTCTTTACCACACTACAAAACTGTTTTTCCAGGACAACAGTCTTCACCACACTACAATTCTGTCCTTCTCAGGATAATGCTCTTCTCACAGTCTACACATGGAGATGGAGAGATCTTTTATCGAGTGAACTGTCACTATATTTTGTCATTGTGTTTTCTCGGCAATATATATTTTTTACTCAAGTTTTTGTTTTGTTTGTTGTTGTTTTCTGTCATTCAATAACCATTTTTAGTATGCACTGCAACTGTTTGTTGTTGTTTTTTTGTTTGTTTTTTTTCTTTCTTACCAAGATTTAAAGATTGGTAAACTTAATATTGCTTAACTGGACTGAACTCAAAACCTTCTGATTTCTTTAGCAAATGTCTCAAAATGAAGTGCTAGACATGTCGAAAAACAAATACTTGGACTGTAGGCTCTCTTAGAATGTTATCCTAACTTTCTGTTTCAGTCAAGGTCTTCTGAACTTTGCTGAGTGTGAAAACGGAATACTTCACCTTTTTATTAAAATAGTAACCATTTGTATGGGGGTCAAAGTGTAAAGAGAGAAAAAGGTAGAAGTGAAAGTGCTCCTTTTAAATTACACTGCAGGTACTTATTAAGCATAAATTAATCTGGTATAAGGCTAAAAGTGTGGCGTACCCAGTGAGAATAGAGTTCTAAACAATAGTACTCTTGGACAAGTTCCTTCTTACGTTAACAACCATTTGGCACTCTACTCCTTAAATAAAATAAATAAATTATAACTAGTTAAAATAAAAACTATTAAATGTTAAAAAAATACTACGTATATTTTATTTTCCTTTTTAATTTTTAATCCTTATTTATTTATTTTATCGGTTTAGAATCAAATCATCCACCACAAAAGTTATCAACTGACTTCAACTAATTTGTACTAGGCTACTCAAAACTGTTAGTTAATGTTGTGACCTTCGTACTCCCTGGTCGTTCGTATTGATACGACTATTTAGTTTTGGAGAATTAGTGGTAATAAATAAAGATAAAAACTAAAAAGTAATTTGTGCTTAGTAGATGAACAAATTACACGATTTAATGAAATGTTATCATTGTGTATTTGAGTTTTTACCGTTTTTTATTTAAGAAGAAGCTCCTCTCTTACTGTTTCATTACCCCTTAAAAATAAAATAAAAATATTGATCATCAAATTGCAACCTATTCGCATCTTTATTGCATCCCTCTCCCGACAAAGTGGGAATTTGGAAACCACCCTCTGCGACAAGTAAATATTAAAAATCGTTGTCTTTTAAAAATTAATTTAATTTAAAAAAAAACAAAAACAAAAAAACTCTACACTAGCAATGGTATGCAGTAATTTCCTTCTTCCTCCTTAACCGACACACCATACGACAAAGAGTAAAAAAAAAAGACTTCTTTTTTACCCAGCCGTAAAAAATAGTTAATAATATTACCAACAATAACGTGTTGTTTTTTTTTTTTTAAGAAAATAACTAGAATACTAATAAAGTGAGTTTCCTTTTCTCGTCTTCCTGACAGCAACGCGATCCGTGAATTGTGAAACAGGCACCCCTAAGCTAAGCAACAATTCTTGAAGAAAGCCTTTCGTTCCAAGGAGGAAATCGTAGACAAAGGTAAGGTTTGAACGTTTCAGTAAAGTAGGTATATGCATTCTAAGTTGCTGTTTTCTTTCTCTCTCTTCTTAAATTAAAAAAAAAAAAAGAAATTTTAAAAAGGTTATTACCTGCAGCTTAAAAAAAAGTACCGTTCTATTTTTAAACAAACTAAAAAGAAAGAAATAAAAAAAAGAAAGAATTTAAATTTCAAAGGAAAGATTTTAATTTTAATTTTTTTAAGATAACTATAGTGGCGGGTAATTTAGTGCTCCCTTTCTTTTTTACAACTCGTGATGATGATAAAAAGTCGGTACTATCAAAATAAAGGAGATGGTACTATTAAAGTAGAAGAGGTGGTACCATCAGATTACAAGAGGTTGTAGTACTGTAAGGCGCCCGGATGTAACTGTGCCTAACACACTCTCTAAATTCACACATATGCATGCATATTAATACACAATTACACATCTAGACTGTAAATTATTATTGTTTATATTGATACCTATCGATGTGTGTTCCTAAAAGGGATTGTACACCATGCTATACCCGCAGGTCTCAGTCCAAGTAGAGAAATAATTCAGAGGGCAACATGACACAGATGACGAAAAACTAACTTGAAACTACACACAGATTTTTACACTTGTACACACTAATTTTATTGTATTACAACAAGCAGTAGTAGATCCGCACACTTTGGTATTAATTTTATTTGTTAAAAATATTACTTTTGATTCTTTAACTGTCACAAGGATCGATTTTTAAAAATGAGAGACGGGAAAAGAAAATGCTTTGAGTTTTAGTTAGTAGTACCTAGATACATTTTACTACACACACACACACACACACACACACATTGATTTATTTTAAAGAGTAAGTAAGAATATACACGCATGAATCCGTTTTAAATTCAGTAAAAATTCACGGACGCCAAACGTACACACTTTTATTGTGCATACGAATAAATTTCATTAGGTATACAATTTTACAATACATGTGCGTGTGCGCGCACACGTAAATGTTGAAAGTGGATTGAAGCTCTCAAATAAAAAAAAAAGTGAAAACGTATAATATTCTGTCGTGTCGAGTGTCACTTACAGTAGTGTTTTACTCACACTCGAGTAAGTGCTTTCCTCACTCATAAAAACAAAAAGTACAAGAACACACAAACTAAACACATTTCCTTCTTTAAACACACACATTTCAAAGGTCACACATACACCCTTAGAAGAAAAAAGCCAGACAGTACTCTGGGAATACAGATACATACGCAATCTATTACTACTACTACTACTACTAACCAGACTACTTTGGCACCAAAGTCTTCAGTGTCACACACACAATAGCAGAGGTATGCATACATTTATATTACAAAGCACACTATTGCCACTGGACCTATACACACACTTATAGGTAAATCTGCAAATACACTTTCAATGTACACTTCTTTGAGTGAAACATGGATAAATTTCGTGGTACACACTCACTCCTTCCTTATCACACATACACTCCTACTCGCAGACTTAGTTTTTTCTTCTTGTTTTGTCTTTCTTTTTCTTCACTCACACACAAATAAAACACACCTATATACAACGACAACGTGTATACAGTATACATGAAGTTATCGACTCCTATACGTACGATTTTTCTATTTTGTTACCTTCTTCTTTTTCCCATCCCTTACTCTCAGAGTCTACCTCTCTCTCTCCATACACACTCGCAATCTTATTTTATTTGTAGGTGTAAAGTAAACTAAAAACAGATTAAAAAACATACATACGCATTTTTATACATACATTTCTCAGTTTTGTTTCATGTACGCATTTTTACATGAACTAAAAACATTGAGGTGCTGAGGGGTCCTCTCTTTCCTCCCACAACACCCATTACTTTCTTACATACACAGGTTTTTTTTTTTTTTTTTTGGTTTTTTATTAAAAAACAAAAAAAACCTGTTTTTTTATATTATTTAAATACATTAATAAAACACTTATAGATATGTACACACAAACTTACATACATATTAGATTGGAGACCGGTACACATAAACATACGGGCGGGGGACAGGTGCGTGTCATAAACTCTTTTTCTTCTCTTTCCCTCCTTCTTTTTTTCCTCTTCTTTATTTATTTGTTTGTTGGTGTTGTGTCTATGTATACGACAACTGCCGAAAAGCAATTTGCTCCAGTGTGTATAACAGAAAAAGAAGGAAGCTACAGCACACTTCTTTCTCTCTCTCTTTTTATTTAAAAAAAAACAAAAAAAAACAAGGCCGAAAAGGTAAGGGGGGACACACCTAACTTCTTTCCCTTTTCACTAAGTCTCTCTCTCTTGCTCACATACGTGTGTATGCTCTGTGTCTGTCCATGTGGTTGTATCTATTGTAAAACCTTTTCAGTTTTTTCCTCTTCCTCTATCTTTTTCTTTCTCTTTTTTTTTCTCCCATTGTGGTGTGTAAAGTAACGCAGTCCATCGATATTTTCTCTTTGCAAAACGGACACAGTTTGACGAGCCTCCTCTTCAACCAAGGTAAGGGACAATGTTAACTTCATCTCTTCTTTCCCCAGTCCTAATAATCCTCTTTATTTGTTTTATAAATATATGCCTTCATCATTTAATTTACGTTACAAAATCCTTACTCTCATTTGTTTTTTTTACTTCTCTGTGCATTTTTATTGTCTTCTTTTCGTTTTTAATTTGCACATGGTTCTCTAACTAACTACTTTGTATTTTTTGTCTTCTTCCAAATAATCTGATTGTAATTTAAATTGTATATACATTTTTAATAGATTTTTATCGTGTACATACAGTTTCTACTTTATCATTTTTTATTCTTTCTGCTTTTTTAATGTCTGTAAGTCAAATATCACTACTCTCTTTCTTTCTCAAAACAACTCTCTCTTAGTCTATAGTCGTATCACCACTGCCGGGTCTGTACACACTCACAGTCACACACCACTAGCTTTTTTTTAGTAATGTTAGTTAAAACTGTCATGTGTATTGTAGTCACTGACAGTCTTCTTCTTAGCCTACTTGCTTTTATTTTATTTCATCTATTTTTTATTGTTTTAAATTATTACGACTATTATTAGATTTGACTAGCTGTAGTAACTAAATGCATTCTTATACGCACCTTACATCATGAGATTTAGCACCTACAGCTAGATTCTAAAACAAAAACAGTAAGGTGCTCAAACCTGTTATTTTTTTTAATTGAATTTTAACAGGTTTATCTTCGTTCGCAAAGGCTCATCATTTTTCTTCATTTACCCCAATCCTTAATTTTTTTTTCTTTTTTACCCCATGACGGAAGCCCCCCGATCCTTACACGTGGCTTAGGAACTTGCAGTACGCTGTGTATGTGTGTTTGTTGTTTAAATAGATAAAAATATTATGCATCAATAAACAATTAAACTATTGACAAATATTGGTATTGGGCTTAACGTACGCTTTGAGCTAGTTAGGATTATTTTTCTATGGAATAATTCTAACCAATATACCATGGATTCATCAGCCAATCCTATCGTACACACAACCCCACACCAACTGACACCTATTCCTACATTACATAGTAACTGTACGTTGTAGTGGACCAAAGTTTATATCCTGTAATATACCACCTTACATAAATTCGCATTTGATGCGTAATATTTCCTTTGTAAAAAGTTTAAAAAGAAAAAAAATACATACAATATCAACCTTAGAGGGCGTTATTTTTTATAGTCAAACAAAATGGTATTGAAAATAAAATGTCTCGTACACATAAAAAAATAAAATTGTCTTCCTTCTACAGATCATCATAAGAATATCTTTTTTTTTTTTTTATAGTGTATTTAGTTTTATTGATCAGGATGTTTATTATACACTTTTTGGTATGGTAGCATCTGATCCCTCTTTTCTGTACATACAAAGCACACCTCATCCCTGTCTCTTCTTTAGTCTTCAGGATATTCAAATCACACTCACCACATTATAAATCTCCTTAGGTTTTTTAAATTATTAGTGTTGTTTTCACTTTTCTAGTTCAATCCTCCAATTGTATAACACCCAGTCTTATAATTAACTATTTTTATAAAGTATAACTTACATTAAATAAATCTACAAATAGTTGTGATTGAGATCGTCTTAAATGACAAGTCACACACACACACACACACACACACTTTTCGACCCACCACCACTGTCCATCCTACCTACACATCCAATATATAATCGAATGTGCACACAAAAATTAAAACTAGTCTTACTTTTCTGATAGCATACACAAAGTTAAACTTGTGTACAGATCACATAACACATTCATCATGCATTTACTTACAACAAATACTTGCGATACATCACTCACTTATTGCTTCATCTTCTTTTTTTTTTTTACACACACACACATCTTATGCATGCACACACACATCTATCTATATTTTGTGTGCACATACACGTAAAGGGCGTTGTCATGAAAGGAATGGTCTCAAAAAGCAATTTTTTTTAAAACCCTCTCTTAAAATTCTAGTCCTGTACCAGAGAAGCCATATATTCGATTTTTTTTACTCTTCATTTTGTGAACTGTTTGGTTTGGACCATCCTCTTTCTTGGCTCTCTTCTTTCTCCCTTCGACCTTTGTCGCCTAGGTTGCAATAACGAAAGAAAAAAATGTTAAATTAAAATATTAGTAATACTATTAAGATCGCAAGATATTTTTCTTTCTCTTTAACTTTGCATCAACATCTCTCACCTGGCCAGATGCTAGAGAATTCCCCCTTCTCTCTCTTTCTCTCACTCTCTCTCTCTCCATATGCACGCTCACACACACTAAATAAACTATTATTGTATATAGGAGAGGAATGATGAAGATGCTCTTTTTTTTTCTCCCCCTTTCTTTCTACTTCTCCCGCTTTTTCTTTCCTCCGTCCTCTTTGGTGACGGAGATATGGTGGTTGATTTAAGTAAGAGTTTGGGTCGTTTACACGCCTCATATTGCAAGCGTACCTGATCGAAAACTTTTGACATCATTAGTCCTGTAAGGAACGTACAACAATCCTCCCCTACCCACCCCCATAAAGACAAATCCAAGGCAAAAAATTTTACAGAAAAAAAACAACTACTAAGGAGAAAAAAGTATAGTCAGTCGAACGACAGTCACTTTAGACTAGAGAGCAAAAAAAGTTAAAGGTAAGTTTTAAAAAAAAAAAAAAAAGATGATCTGTTCTGGTCACTTAACTTTTTCTCCCTTATCGCAACCATAGTTTTTATTTTGTTTGGTTTTGTTGGATGATCTCCAGAACTATTTCTTCATTTTGATTCATGTTAATATTTTTTTTATTTTTACCGTGTTAGTTAAAGTTCCTTTCTTTAGAGGAAGGATGTAAATATCTTTTTAGGATGTATGGGATTGAGGTAAGTTAAAAAAAATACTCAACTCATGTGTTTTTTTACTAAGCCTTGGCCTGATTATTTTAGTTACTAATTAAAACGGTACCCGTCATCTCTGTGTGTGTATATATATATACACACACTGAATCCTACAGTGACCAGCTGAGGGGGTGGAATAGTGTACTGTAGTTTTACTAATAGATTTTGTCTTATCTACCTGTCTGTTTTACTGATGTCGGAAAGAAAGAAAAAAGACAACAAATGACATCACGATCGACCATACAAAAGCTTTAAAGTATCCCTGACATTTATTTTTCTTCCCTTTTGATCGTCTCTCACTCCACTTAGCTTCCCCAGTTCCATCCTCAAACAACTTTACTTTCACCATTTTGTAAATTTCGTAGTTCAAACTTTACTGAGGTCTATGACTTGACCACCTCACCTAGAATTCCCATCTGAAAGGGTAATTTATGATTCTCTCTAGTTTATCCTAGTTTATTATTCTTTTTATACGTAACTTTTTTTTAACGAATAAGAGATATTGTTCCTCCTTTTCTTTTGGGATGAACAAATTCTTTCTTATCTTCTCTTACCTACCGAATTAAACCAGTTTCATATTAAAAAGTATAACCGATCTTGTGTGTGTGTGTGTGTGTGTATGTATATATATATATATATATATATGTGTGTGTGTGTGTTCATTTTTTCAGTTGATGGGCTGGGGTAAGTATAGGGGAGGAAAGAAAAAAAGTCAAAGTGTGATGTAGAAAAGAGGGGAAAGTTTGTTTTGTATCCGTCTTACAATTAGTAGTTTTGTATTTTTACGTCCTTTACTAATCGTTTACATTTAATTTATATTGTTGCTTTGAATGTAAAAAGAAAACGAATTGGAGGAAGGGATGAATGAATGGCTGGTCGTTGGGCTTTTTGAGCATGCGGTCTTCCACAGGGGAGCTTATCGTCTTCTTGAGGACAAAAAAAAAATCTGAGGGATTTTTTTTTTATCAATTTAACTAGTCTTATCAGTTTCACATTTTTAAGATTTCGTTAAGACATTTTGCAACATTTACAATTTACATAACTAAGAATCTCAGATATAGTTACTGACAATTTTGTGGACACAAACACTTGAAACCCGAGCCTTTGACTACTAAAAATACCAATATTTGACTTGTACTGAAGAATTTTTTTTTCTTAGTAAAAAAATAAATGAATACGGATGTTTAAAATCGCTAAAAAGTTGTGATTACAGTCTCAATTTTCATGTTGTTTTTATGATTAATAATATTAATATTATATACTGTTTGTGTCGTGTTTATAAGGTTTAAACTGAAACAGATCGTCGTCGTCTTACAGATTTAATTTTTTTTTAGTTTTTAAAATCAGCAAAGCTGCTTTTTTTTTTTACAATAATATTGCTTTAGTAAAACTAAATCTTAATTGAAATGTTTTATCCTCATGATAGATATTTTTGTGTATGTCTAACTTTTTGTTTTCGTTTTTTGTTTGTTTTTTTTTTTTTTTTAATTTTTATTTACTTTTTGTCTTCCTCTGTGTGTGTGTGTGTTTGATAATGTTGCGTGTCCTGTGCCTTAGCTACGTACGACATAGTATCATTTTTTTTCACTTGACACTGTTACGAATTTTTACATATCTAGTCTTTCTCAGGGTGATTTAGACTTCTTTTTTTTTTTTTTTTCATCGTCTGTCGATTCGTTTCGTTTCAACAGATTGGTAAGTTGAAGAATTTCTCTAGCTTTTTGGTGGTCTGTATATAAAAGTTTCTGATTACACACACGCACGCACGCACAAACATGGTGAACTTTTGCAACTAGTAATAAACTATTGGGTAAAAATACCAACCTAAACTTTTAACTAGTAAACATCAGATATAAAATAGCAAACAAGTGGTGCTTTTCTTTCTGGGGAAAACTTTTCACACAACAAAATATGTAGAAACATGATTTTTAATTTTAAGTTATTATGTTCACTCGTTACGGTTTAATATTTGATCTTTTTTGGTAATATTGTTTTTTATTAGTTTAAAAAAAAAAAAAGAAGGATCTTTACCTCCTCATTTGACACTTTCAAATTTTTTGTCTCGTTTTGTTAACCTTTTTTTTTTTTTTTTTTTTTTTTTTTTTTTTTTTTTTTCTAACTGT